TGCAACAAGTATGAAATTAATCAGAACTTCAAGAATGTTACACTGCAAAGATATTTCATCAGATCAAATAAAGATTCTTCATAGGTTATTTCAATCCTAAAGCAAATATTATTATGATTAAAATTTTTATACCGCCAAGCCATACCAGGGTAACAGCCCTATGTTCTTGAAGTTTCAGTTTCTCGTCATAAGTATTTTCTCAGTCACATGGAATTTTCGTATTATTAGTGGTAAATTTGGCTAATCTTTTTAACGTTAAAACAACTTTAACGTAATCTAAGTATTTTAAAGTAAAGAGGCAAAATCAGGGTAATTTTAAAGTCGCCGGCATTGAGGTTCATCCTCCAAATATAAGAATACCGGTCCAAATATTTCACATAATGTTGTATTTTGAAATAGAGTTTCCACAACAAATCATATTTCGTGATAGATACCCTATCTCTAATACCCATTAGGCTATCTAATGCGGCACAAATCACCTTCCCCCCCTAGCTGTGAATATCATAAAGGAACGATCCTAAGACGTTTTTTTTCTCTCCTTTTTCATCCTTCAAAAATATGGATAGACACTTGCCATATTGAAGCGAACAGAGCTCATTGTCTAATTGTAAGTGGTTTAGGTCCCTATCAGAATACAAAGAAAAAACAACCCAATTTCCTTCTCAGTCAATCTATATCAACTGCTTTAAATGAGCAAACATAAAAACAGAAATTAAAATGGCGGATCTTAATAAATTCTTCGTTTCTTTTCCGTATCATTTGCGCCACCATTTTTTTCGCCTTGAGCGTCTGCGCCCAGAACGCCTGCGCCAAGAACAACTTCATCGCCGTAAACGTCTCCGCCAATAACGTCTGTGCTATTAGCTTCTGCGCCTGCGTCTCCTCCAGAATGGACCAAATACAGAGCCGTCCTTTGCTGACTGTTCAGAAATAGCTGAAAGAGACCATTTAAAAATTTAAAAAAAGGAACACAAATTGATATAACGAAAAGCTTGGAAGTAAATCTAGGCCCTAAAGAGCCTTGATCTAATTAGCAGTAAATGATAATCTTAACGTCTTATAATAACTAAAGAAGGACAACATTTTGTTATGAGATTTTATGAGGGCAATAATGAGCCTCAATTACCAACAAATAACATTGAAAGCTATTGGTAGAAGTGCAAACTTTGTATACCGCCAAAGAATTAACGACATTCAAAGGCGACTAGTACCTTCAGCTAATTCACTGTCCCCTTCCGGTTCTGTGGCATGGCTGTTCTCTTCCATTTCTTCAACATCACTGTTCTCACCGTCAGTGGGTTGTTTAGATTCTGACTCGTTTTTTTCTATGCTTGCAGAATTTCCTCTACCTGAAACTCTTCGGGGTCACTCTTCACCGCCACTCCGTTGGAGTCTTCCTCAACACTTGCAGCTATGAAATTCAAAAAAGTGATGTAAGCCTCCCTATCTGAACAGATAATTGCTTAGTGAAATATGGGAATCGTCATTTGCTTAGTACTGTAGTTTCCTTACGAGCAAAAATGCTGATTGTCTGGGGTTAAAGTCAGTCTCAAATGTAAAGGCAAGTAAAGGGATAACACAACATACGAAAGTTATTGCTCTTTACAGTAAGTTTATATCTACTTACAATGAGAAGCCTGATCAAAACTTTCGAATTTTATAGCTTTCGGGGCCACTATCAAACAGATGCAATTGTTCACAAGCATTGAATTGCTAATAAATATAATAAAGTGCATGGATCTTTCTTCGCCAGTGTCTTGACTAAATAAATGCAAGCAAGGCTGCACCTACCGTTGATTGAAATGACAAAACCAAGAAGGACACAAAACAGCAAACACGACCTTCATCTTGGAACAGGTTCACAGCGTTCTCAGCTCAGACGTGCTTTACCACCTTTCCTTCAACATAGAATATCTCTATTCTCTGCTTCCAAGCGAAACTGCTAAAACTGCACGATTTTTATACCCCAGTATCTTGATTTCCGGTTGGCATAGTTACTTTTTGTCAGATAGCAAGCCCCCTCAACTGTTAAAGCACGCTTCTGGAATAAAGCTTGATTATTGCCAAATACCTCTAGGGTTTTTCTTATTTTATCGGATTTACAAACCCCTCATTGTAGTGAAAAGATTCATTCTAATCCAAGCCAAACCGTCCCAGTTGGGCCTTCCTCTAACATTCCATTACAATCTTCGATATGGGAAATGACGACTTGATAACTACCAAGTTAAACGTGCCGAGTGCGCTCGAAAAATTTAAGGAAGTCAAAGGCACAAAAATTCCATTAAACCATAACTAATAGAAAAACTCTCCTTGGCATAACTTTTCAAAGAGACTGCAAGGTTACAAGTGGGTTTTTGTTACAGCCATTTGGGTGACGTGACTTTGAACAGTGCCCTGTAGTCACGTGTCCCACATTTGTGCAACCTCCTTCAGTGAAAATGGATTCAACCTTTTGGTGGTACAAAACTTGTAAATGGCTTTGAAAAAAGTAAACATTTAGTGAACATAGATTATTATGGATTATTTTTTCTGATATTATTACAATTATGTTCCGTGCTTAAACATTGACACTAGAGAAAACAAGCGGGATCAAAATTGATTTGTTAACGGCATCAAAGAAGAAAAAACTGTTCCCAAACAAACTAGCACGAAACCATGATCGCAAGATACCACAAGGCCTATCGTCGCTTTTCCAGGCACAGAACCAGGGGAGATTCCTCACGTTGATGTATCGCTTTACGTCTTTCCTATTGTCACCAAAAATGACCAAAAGTAAACTTTTAAAGCTACTTACACGTAGCTCTTAAGAAGTTACTCTTATAAAACGGTTGAAAATGTTTCTTTTTGATCCGCGTTGGGTCGAACTAGCCAACGTTTTAGTAGATTCGCAACAGCTACGGTAGAATATTCGTAATAATAATTGTTTGTTTGTTTGTGCAAACTCTCTGAGCAAAAATGGATGAATTTTCTAACGCTACTCATCGTGGATCGCCTGTTTCTGCCTAGCTGCAGAAAGGTCTGATGTAAAACGTATGCGGTATATTCTCCACCTCTAACCAATGATTTTAAAAGTCAGCAACCCTAAATTAACAATCTAATCGAATTGCTATTTAGAAGAGGGGCCCTACCTTTCATCTCTGCTTGGTAACTGAAGCTACAGTTTTGATAGAGTTCAATTTACATGATGAGACCTAATGCGATGTTTGCCATCTTCTCAAACACTTTTTACTTCATTTTGCATATCTAAGGTAGGTAACCCTTTAGATACGCTGACTTTTAAATGTAAATTTAAAATACTTAGAAACTGAAATAAGGAGCACGATTTAGAAATAGAATCAAGAAAGAAAGGAAACTTTTCGAAACTAGCACGAAATAATGATCCCAAGAATGCCTATTATTGATTTTCCAGGCACAGAAACAAGGAGTTCCGTTCTCATTTCTGTTCTCATTTCGGTGAACGGGGTTGTTTGTGGTCATTTAGATTTAAGGCCTTCCTATTGTCATCGAAAACAACCAAATGGAGCACGTTGTTGCTTGTAGCTCTAAGAGAAGTTATTAAGCTTTTTAATTGTTTTTCTTCGAGTGATTGAAGAGGCCGACGTTTTAGTTAGATACCCAGTTTCACGGTCGA